TGGAAAGAGAATTAGGGTTTGACGCGTTGGTGTGTCATCATCTGCCGGGTGTCAGAACTGGAAGCAGAGCAAAGTAACGTGATGCTAAGTGCTGGTGTGTTCCAGGCTGAACAGGTGCTGCTGCTCTTGAGTTTGCACCACTAGTTATCTACTAGCTCTCCAACCGAGACACATTTTTCCTTTGATATCATTGTTATGATCAGCAGGGTAGTTGAATGTGCTACATTTTTTCTTCTGCTATATACTATGTATTTCACAATATGGAATTTCATTGAGAGGTTTGTTTTGATTTTGATTTTGAAGCCCTATCATTGCCGTTTCTTTTTTAACCATTCATTTATGCTTTATGTGGCCAGATTTGAGGAAAACAATAAAAAAAGAGAGTAATGACAGAAATTCCATCTTTGACTTGTCTAGCAATTGGGAATGTTCCTCCGGCTAAAATGCAATGTTGTATTTCAAAGCATATTCGGTATGGGCTGGGCTTACATGCAGTAGGAAATTGCCATCTCAGTTATGACTTCGTGGCGTAGTACCCACCCATCATGCGCATTGTGTCGTGACAAAGGAAAACATCTCGGACAGGACGGCTCTGAGGGCAAGGCCAATGTTTTCTCACAAACTGCCATGTAAACTGAAGCAGGGCACTCTCTCCACAGTTCTCTGGAGATATCAGCAGTCAAGGTGCTGTTCTCCCAGAGTATTGTCACATTAGTCCTTAGTGTAGAAGCTGTGCCAAAAAAAAGCAAATAACAGAAAGGACGTCGCATTTGTACCGCACCTGTTAAGTAAAATGTTAGTTTGGAGTGCATGTCGCTAAGCACTGGTTTATTTAACCTGACTACATGTGATTGGAGGAAGGTGTAGAGCAGTAGGTAAGACTTTGGACTCATGATTCACGGATTCTGGGTTTAAGTCTCCACTTTAGGCCCTTCTTCTTTCCTTTTGAGACGCTTGGGTTTAGCCCCAATTGCTCCAGGCCTCCCAGCTGTATACAGTAAGCGGGGACGATCCTTGCTGAGGGACTGTTGTCCCATTTGGAGGGGAGGGGGGGGTCACATGCTCTCTAGTCCCCTTAATGTTAGAGAAATCAGAGTAAGCACTGGCCCAGAGAGCTCTTGTGGCTCTGGTATGAACTTTACACATACTATAATACTATAATATGAATACTATAATTTATAATTATATAGAGAGAATTTGCCTAAGGGTATAATGAGACACAAAGGAGTAATCTGTGATCATGTATAAGTTCATATGATATGTTCATATGATCATGATCAAGTTATTTAAACATTTTCTGCCTAAAAGATTTTCTTAGCAGTGCATATTGGGTTTTTTTTGTTCTTTCCTACATTGATAGGCAGACATGGACATATACACATCCCCCCTCTCGAATACCACTATAAATTAGACCATTTGCATCAGGAAAGCATATTTCTCTTTGTTAAACAGAACCACTTTGCAGCACATTTCCTATAGTTTCTGTCCAGACCATACTGACAGAAGAGGGAATGATGTAATGACTGTAAACACTGCCATTGTGTGCAGAAGGATTTGAGACCAGTGTATTTAGGATGTCTCTGAATTTGAATACCCAGGGTAAATGTCATTAAGTTGCTGATTCTTTTAAGACTCATGGCTTGTTTCGTCTGCCTGCCTGTGCTGATAAATCAAGCTGTGGTAGTAGCCAAGAAAAACAGACGTTCAAAGTTCATACATTTGGATCCTGACCAGGAAAAATATGCGATGAATTACAGAAGCCTTGATTATTTTTCCACGTTCTAGTGCTTCTTCATATTTAGCTGCAGACTACACAGTATGATTGGTCATTGTGCTTGCTGAGACCATTTAGCTGAGTTCTGAAGATTATATGGGATCATATAGCAATATGGATATTTTGAGATGCAGATAGATATCATTGTGGGGGAGTTTATTTAGTTTCTAAGAACCCTCCCTCCTTGAAGAACTATTTGCTCTTATTAGTCTATGGAACTTCATGAATATAGCATGTTTGTGGTTAGAAATTGTTTTTTTCCATGGATTACGTGTATCGTTGTGGTCATAATCCATGGTTTTCATGCATTTTTTCAGGGGTGAAGAAGCATGCTAAATTCCAAAAGAAATTGGACATTTTCAATTCTTTCAAATCTGCTTTCCTTGGTTTGGCAGTTTTTAATAATGTAGTTAAAATACTGAATGTATTCGAAGAATCAAAACCTGTTGGTCAGAAACCTAAAAATCATGGCTCCCCTTGGGTTTTAAATTACACAACATTGGTTGTTTTTATTACTTTCTCCTTAAACGTTAAATTATTCATTTGAGCCTTTAAAGGCAATGCAAAAAATACCTCAAAGGAGTTGGAAGAGTGAGTTGCTGGTCAGAGTAATAAATGCTTTGTTAGAATAAACTTTCTTAACTGACAGGATATCAGGCTCTTACAGAAAACTGAAAGGAAAGGGTATCTCAAAAATAATAACTACAGTAGATGGTCTTTTCAGGATGTAAATCAGAAGAAAAGCAATATAGCAGAATTGCAATTCACTCATAGCAATAGCCAAACACTTTCCAGTGAGGAATATTTACAGTATGTACTGTTTAACAGTTTGTCCTGGTTGTACATATGGTTGTACATATGAAATCTGACTTGCGTGGCTATGTATGGGATAAATATTGAGTTTCCCAAAAAACTTAAAATAAAAACCTTCTATTTAAAATGAATATTTTTTTTACCAATACATCCCTGAAAACTATTAAATGTTTTATTGAAATGAAATAGATTAAAAGAAAGAAAAGGTGTTATTTCTCTAATATTTCTCTGAGCAGTATGAGAAATATTCAATCAAATCATTTTAAAACATCAATATGTTTAGTTTTGCATTAAAATATATTTGGATCTTGTAACATTATTCAATACTAATATTGCAGGTCAATACACTACAGTGTATACTAAACAAATATGGAAAAATGACAAAACGTAGCTGTACTTTACAATACCTTTCACGAAATGAGCAAATTACATCACCACAGCCTGAATTTGACAGCGTCATCTTAACGCTGCAGAATAATCCAAACAAGCAACACTCCATTAAATAAAAACACTGAGATTTTCTTTCCTTTTCATTGTTGATTATGTAGTCAATGTCCTCTGGAGATGTTTTCCAGCCTCCTCTCTTTACTCTTCTATTGAGGGATCAGCAAGGCTAAATTCCACACTGAATCCCACTGTGCAGAGCACATTTTTACATTAATTACAGTATTCAGAGAGAGATTTATTACTCTTTTAAATGTTTCCAGTATTTAAAAAGCTATACATTTACAAATTTGAAGTTACTTATTGCATGTGTAATATATATAGTATTTAAGCGCACATCAGACACTAAAAACATTTGTTTATATATATACAGTTTACATGCTGAGGGGCATTAAAACAGAACCGCTATTGGTTCCAATACTCATTTGTTGCATTTTTAATGGATCTCTGTATATTATATACAGTATTGCTCAGGTTTCCTTTAAATAAATTACATTTCTTGTGTCGAATCCTTCAAATTCTTTCTAGGTCATTTTCCTCACTGTTTCACAGTACGTACAGCTAGCTAAGCATTGAAGAACAGAACTGACGAGCACAATGAATTCACAGCAGATTTGTGGTTTAGCACTTCAAAAGATCAAGTTAAATACTGCCTTTCTTCAGCCTCAATGATTAGCATAATGCTCTTATGAAAATATTTTTAAGATGTCAGGAAAATTTCTAAAGTTTTAAATTTCAGCTTAAAAGTTTTGAGAGAGGAAATAAAAAGTTTGTTTTCCATTTTGGAATTATAATTATCAATGTTCATGATTTATTATTATAATTGGGGAATTTCATAATCATATTATGTGCAATTGAATGGCAGCAGTTCTGTCCCTGACCGGTATAAATAAATTAGTGCTATGATACACCATGGGCACCATTATTAGATTTCATGGTGAAAGAAATAGTGTCAGTCAGCATCAATCATAACATACAGGTATACTTACAAAGGAATATCCTAATATTGATTGTGATTTAACCTTTCCAGTGAAAAAAGGCACAGTGGGAGAATTGTGATCAGAGTTATTCTCAACATTTTTCTGTAAGCCAGTGGCAGACTAAAGTAAAACTGTCATGAGAGAAATACATTCAGCTGAACAAAATTGATATCTATACTCATGTTTGCGATACCATTTGTTACCTTAAATAGGTAAATGATAACATGTTTTAAATTAATTTATTTAAGGAAATAATACTTGCTTTTGCAAGCAGAGCAGCCTTTTTGTTCTTTTAGTTTTTGAGTGTGTAATTTGTGTCTGTGTGCCTTCACATTTTTTATATTGTTCGTTTTCATTTGGTTATAGACACAGCTTCATTATAATCGTTTAATTTATGTCATCATCACTGAGTGATAATTTCAGCATTTCTTTTTACTATTTTGCTTACTATTTATCTATTTATTTATTATTTGTAACTAGTGGATATTGTCAAATTGACCTTTTATCTTGATATCTCTAGAGTACTTGTCCAGTAAGTTTCATGTACTGTACCTCAGACCATACTTGGAAATCCATAATTGTTAGCGTTGCTACCAAGACCTTTACAGCTGCATAGGTGATAATTTTCATGCTGGATTAAAAAAATATATATTTTACTCTACCTGCGTCAGACCGCACATTAGCAGCTTCATTTATTTATTTGGAAAAAAAAAGACATCATGCGCTTTCCCTGTATCCACGGATACATGTAAAATGAAGCCCCAGGTACTGTAGTGGTAATTCTGACTTTCCTAGCTTAAGAAATGAACAATAAAAAGCTGTTCCTATGCTGTGGATTGGTTACTTATTTGCTATAGAAATAATTATTGTAGTTGCAAACCGAGTATTCATTTGGGGAACAACAAAAAGAGCCTGGGAGAAAGAGCGTTTTTTTTAATCAAAATGTAATTTACAGTAGCTCTCCCCTCTTGTTTTGTGTTTTTCCTCAGGCTTGAGTGGAAAGCAGTGTGGGAGTTATGGAATGTGGACACCCCTTTTTTGTCTGTCCTTCTTGTAAATAGGTAAGCAAAACCACCCCCTCCCTATCCCGCAATTAACCCCCCCTCCCCAAAAAAATAGATTTAAAGGAAATTAGCTAATCCAAGTCCTTTTTTGTTTTTGGTAGAATTTACTGCTTGTATGGTGGGTAGTTCCCAGCCACTATACAGTATTTAGATAGATGACACCATGGCTGATTTTGATCAGCATCAGTGAGGAATAAAATGATTTTACCTGTTTCCAATCCCCCGTTCACTGAATAGAACTGATTAGACCCCAAGGTAAGTGATGTTGTATAAATTACGTAGAGCTCATACATTTAAGAGATAACTCTGAATATTTTTTACCATAATTATAATCCTTACTATTAATCAAGACACTTTCTTCTTGCATTATGACAAAGCAGTAAAACATCCAGTAGATTTTGATGTGTTTCAGGATACTGCAAAACGTAGCTGCTCTGCTAATTCCATGAAAAGTGAGTGGGTGTGGTCCATGTTAAAATGGAACAGCTCATACTTTAAAAATGAGTTAAACCAGGTCTACAAAATCTTCCAGATTTTATTTTTAAATATTTGTATTAAATGGAAAAACACACTCCCTTTCTATACTGTATGTTTCTGTGGTACTGAATTGCTTGTGTTATTTCCACAAAGAGAAATCTCCATTTTTTTCCATCATGGGTGTGTTCTTCTCGAGGAGTCCCCTGAATACCAGCATTGGTTATGTTGAAGAAAAGGGAAAAAAAATAGATGTGTTTACTGAGAATTTCCATGGTGACATTGCCTTTTAGGAGCTGAAGCTGGAGCAACAACAGAAGAAGTGCTTCATTCACAATGGTGGCCCGTTTTCTTGAGCAGTTAATCTTAAACATATTTCATCCATTGTTCATTAAAGCGCCTATTGAGATGTGAGAGGCTTAAGGCCTTCCTGATTGCTTTACTAGATCTGCCGCTGTGCCAGTTATGAGACCCTAGTGAGGCATCATGCAGTAAGCATAGAATGCATCTACTAATAATATGGAAAACAGGAAATTCAGAGTCACGTTAGCCTTAGGATCCTGAAAAGTTTGCTGTGCATAGAATTTGCAACACCCTTAGATGTAAGAATGTGTCCTTTGTCCATTTCTAAATCTAATTAATTGGAGTTCAGCTTTAACATTTAACATGAACCAAATGCGTTTCCGATGAATAAAGACTATTAATATCTTGTATACATATTTTCTTTAGACTGACACTTCTGTCTTTTAATTAATCAGATATATATTTTTCCCATTTCCAGGCTGGAAAAGAACTGAAAACGAAATATCTGCAATTTGCTTCTCTAGAGATACTAGAAGATCATAACATTGCTGTTCATAACATTGCTGTTCCTGAACTTCTTAAGCCCCTGACACAGTACATCTTTCTCCAGCACACCTAAATGTGCAAATCGGAAATAGTTTAGATGTAAATGCATCACTTTACAACCTGCTAATCAAGTCAATACATTCAACTAAGTGCAGGTTTCTGCTAGTAACCACGATTCTCACCACTTGGGGGAATCTTGGTCACATTTGGCTACTGACCCTGCCCTGGTTGAGTGATGTCTGGACTACAGGGCTCAACCACTGTTTCCATTTAAAGCCATTTTTTTACTGCTCGAGCCACTGAAATATTATATTTTGCTTTCTTATGGTGTTGTCATCTGTGTTCATATACTGTGTACAGTCCATACGTTCCTCCTGTTGTGCAAACTGTGTTTTTTGATGAAGTGGCAGGAATGAGCGTGCCTTGCACACAGGACTTTTGCAACTGCAGGCAAAGTGCATATACTGTATCAAGGATCTTTCTCTCCTCCCAATCTAGGTAGCATGTCATTAAAACAGAGCCCCCACCGCCCTTAATTGTGCAGCCGCGGCTATAAAAAATACAAATTTTCTCAATTTGGGGACTAGAGCGTATGAATTATAAATCAATGGCTTCCCATCAGCCAGTTGTAGCTCAGATGTGCTTTGCGCAGGAGGACACTGTATTTCCATATGAAAGCCCAAACTGAGCTGTGACACTCCCTGGAGTTCTCACAGACGACATGGTAAAACACTTACCCTGCCATCCCATAATTAAACTCCTGGAAAAAAAGCCAAACAAAAAACATGCACACTGTAATTTTTTACTCTGGTTGTCTGAACTGCCAGGCCTCCTGGGAGAGAATAAATGGAGGCACCGATGTGAAATTTAACTAGAGAGAAAAACAAAACAAAAATCTCTGTGTGTTACTGTTTTAGTCTGGCCCAGAAGCAGAGATGACATCATTAATTTCCACTTTCTTTCTAGTCGATTCAGGTGATATGAGCAAAAAAAAAAGGCCCCCTTTTGTATATCTCACTCATGTTGGGTGCAGCATTTGTGAAACATTGCACCAAAGCAGTGAGGAGTTGAATTAAATGAAAACTGAGTCATTGAGAGAAGGGCTTAGGGTTAGAGTTTTAGGTGGGGTTTAATTATATGAAGGAGGTTGACAGTTTTTCTCCACCATTTGAGGCAGCTCTAACAGAGTATATAGTCTGTGAGAAATGTCAATTTAAAAAGGCCAAGAGATATTGATGTAGCTTCAGTCAGAGATTGTTGTAATTCAAATGCCTAAAAGTTTGTTCTCCATTTGCCTTTCTTCATGTCAAAGTAATGTGTCTTGGTGTCCTTGAGATGACACTTCCAAGTCTCCAGAATGAACACAAAGTAATGGGAGACAAATTCTTGCTACTATGCAAATGTCTCTATGGAAGCATTACTGCAGCAGCTGATGTAGGGTGGTGTTCACTGGTGGTCAGAGGCTAGCAAAGTGAGAGCTTAAATATTAGTATCATTGACTCCTAAATCAAAGGGCTGAACTGCTTCACCTGTGTGATACCTTGTTTCAGTTCCAAGGCCTGCAATTATAGATGTTAGCGGTGAAAATCTGTCATTCCAAATTTCAAACTTTAAGTAGAAACATGTTCTAGTAAATACATTGTGCACACCTGTAGTATTATAGTAATTAGGTGTACACATACTGCAATAATGTATTCTGAAGACGTAATCGCATGGTAAAAAAGAAGTTGCCAAATTTCATCAAGTTTAATTAGGGACCCAAAGAGCACTAGCCCTTTGATTGGTACGCAATTTACACTTGGGATTACTGGCTTTAAATGTTAGTCTTCACTTATTATATTTTGAAATATTTAAAAAGTGTTCATGTTTTTATTTCTACAAAGCATAGTCTGACTCTTTCCGTGCACGGCACAGATAGGCCAGTTGATTCTGTCTTCCCTTTCTGAAGGGTGTGATCCACAACTTTGAACTTCTCTGTGCTCATCTTTTTTTTTGAGTGACTTGGGGGAATCCGAGATAGTGGGTAGTTACTCACATAGTTGGCCACAAGGATTAGTAATTACCAGGTCTGCTTTCTAGTAATTGGTAACTGTGGTTGTAATACACTGTATTGTAGTGTAATTGATTCTAGCCTTGGGTATATCCAGCAATATGCATTGTGGACTGTCATTTCATTCCAGTTATGTTATACAGTATATACAGTAAATGCATATGCGTTATCAACATCAACCTTTATTGATCCTTTACTGAAGATCTCCCCAAAGTTGTGCTATAGATGTCAGTCCACATTCACATTCATACATTTTGCCATGTAATGATTTTGTAATGCCAGTTTATGGGAGGTCTTCTTCTTCATTGGCTTTTCTCTGCCATTTGGGAGCCATCTGGGAGCCAGGTCTATATTAATGTAATGTAATGGTCCACCCTTCTGGCTTTGCCTCTGCTCATTGCCCTCCTCCTCCTCAAGCGATGTCACTTTTTGTGCTTTAACACATTTGTTTGTCTTTTCCTGCTGATCTGAAAGTGCATGGTTTCTACCTCTTTGGGTTATCAGGAGTTTTTGTGACATGTGACCCATGTTTGATATCTGTATGTTAGTACAGGCAGTAATTACCAAGTCTGTGCATAAACATATATTTAACCAATTTCACAAAGGCCTCGATTTTAATGGTTTTAATGAAGCTGGCTAAGAATTGCAGTTTTCACCAAACATTTTCAAGAACATTTTTTAATTTATTATATAGTGAACTAAAGATATGCACATATTTTAACACTAAACAGCTGTCAAATGAAGTGATCGTATCCAGATGTTAAATTGTAGTTAGCCACAGTATAGCACTCGTTCTCTGCAGCAGCTTAACATTCCTCTAAAAAAATGAAACTTTTGTTTTAATGAAGGTAGACCTTTGCAAATAGAGGGTTTGGCATAAAAGTGATATTTAATTTAGGAACTTCTGGGGCTAATTGTATGATGTTGGCATTGTCACAGTGATGTTAGGCAAACAGGACTGCTGGATGCTGACATGCTTCAAACGCAGATTTCTTTTTTTATATGTGACAATTTATTGTAGAGTATTTAAATGAAGTCAAGAACCATAGTATATTTATGAAATTCAATATGAAAGCCAATTAAACATACCCATGATAGATAACCATTCTTCTCTGGCTTTTCAAGTTAAAACTGTAGTGTTTTCAATTATAAAAGGCTAGACTATGTTCAGGAGACAAAAGACAGTGGGAGATATGATATAGTTTAAGAAAGCTATAGAAATCTTTACTATAGCAAGAAATAGGTAAATAAGTAGCTGAGCTGAATAAAACACACCTACGTTCAGTGTGGCTGGGTTGATTCTGCTTTCAAAAACTAAATGAACTTTCTTTCTCCCTTTTACCAGTTTGCCTCTAACCTGTTTAACTTTGTGCATTGCCACTAAGCATTCAAGCAATTTGAGAATCATAGATTTTTTACACTTAGTGTTAGGTTAGGTTTTTAGCTTGGTGGTGCTTTTTTTTTGCTTGGATACCTGGTAAAATGGGCAATTAAACTGTGATTATCAATTGACAACACTTCACCTAATGATGATTCATCCCTAATTAGTTTCTTGTACTGCTGTTGTTTAGTGTCCTGTGCAAATTCAGATTCAGTTCCAAGCTATAACTACTTGGTGTGATGA